ACAGATTCTTCTTCGGAGCCTCCAGAAAGATCTAAGTTGCCTACACTCTGATTTCAGACTTCTAGCCTCACAAACTATGAGGAAATAAATATCTGTTGTTTTAAGCCACTTACTTTATGATTGTTTTTTATGACAGCCCTAGGAAACTAACACAAATGACGAAATTAATGCTGCAGAGAGATCAAGCAAGTTAAGCATGGAAAGTGACTATTTGGCTTAATATGAAGGTAATTGATAGGACAGTGCATTGACAGAAGAGTATTAACTATTTAATACTTAAGGGTAATATTGTGAGTAAAGAAATATACATATTGAATTTATATGTTTTATTGAAGAAGCTCATCTAGGAATAGAAGAAGAAAGATAAAAGTGGTAACTAAAGGGAATGTAGTCAGAAAGGGCTATTTTAATTTAGATTTTAATATTTCAACTGTAAAGAAAGAAGAATGAGATGTTGAAGAGAGATAAAAGAGGACTGTCTGAAAAACAAGTAGTACAGGTGAAAGAATGGCTTTTAGGAAAAGATAAATTTTAGCTGATGCTCTTTTTGTCAGATAATTGACAGGGAAGATAGAAAAGGAGGAATATTGAGGAATAGTTGAAATTCTTGGAAATCGTAACTGATCACAGACCCACATGACTAAGGCGTCTGGCAGAGAACAAGAATTTTTAAGGAGGGCCTATTTACACAATTCAGTGAAAATGTACTGATCGTGGAATGACTGACTAACTGATGGCCAGCAATGCTCAATAGCTGGATTGTAGACCACACAGAACTTCAAGGGTGGAACCAATCCCATATAATTGTAAAGCAAGTATGATGAGGTAATAAAAGGAAATAAAGCCTAAATAAGAGTCACAATGTAGACCAGGGTGTCAAACTAATTTTCACCTGGGGCCACATCAGCCTCACAGTTGCCTTCAAAGGGCTAAATGTAATTTCAACTCCTTAACAATTAAGGAGTAGTTACATGTATATTCTCCTAAAATTATTTGAGCCCTTTGAAGGCAACCAGGAGGCTGATGTGGCCCCTGGTGAAAATGAGTTTGATGCCCTGGTAGACTATCAGGATATGAAATTAATAAAAAAGAAAAAACTCTCAGCATAGTGGGAAATAACAAACATACTAAAACTAAAACTGTGGGAGAACTGTGAAATTAAAGGTAGTTTCAGGGAAAGAAATCTGGAATTTTGACAAGCCCTTCTTTCCAAAACTAACTCTGCAACTAACCAGCACCAATACCTGAAATTCTGCCTTATTATGCTTATTTTGAGGAAGCTATTAAAATAAAATGAGTATAAAACATGCTATACCATTTCTTTGAGTTGTCAGAGAAGAAAATAATAATTAAGACATGACCAGTCTCCACTTTATTATTATAAGTTGTTACCACATTACGGAGGCAAATTACTAGTATGTATTCTAAGCAAAAATATGGAGAACAAATAACATTTTGAAGAAATGTAATCTATTATGCATAATAAAATAACACTTCTTGATAATTAGGAATAAAGAACAAGCATTTACATAAATGATTGTAATTTGTATTACACCTATGCAGTCAAACCAAGATTTAGTCATTATTATCTAAAACCCATTACTGTCTCCTAGGGCACCATGCTTGGATTACTTCCCAGTATCCTTAGACACTTGCATAAGTGTATGCTCTCACACATTCACAGTTTTTATTTTTTTATTGTTGTTCAAGTACAGTTGTCTCCATTTTTCCTGCCACCACTTTCCGGCACCCCACTCACCCCTACCTCCCGCCCTCAATTTGATCTCCAAAATACATAAAAAACTCATACAACTTCACTCCAGGAAGACAAACAATCCAATTAAAAAATGGGCAAAGGACCTGAACAGACACCTCTCTGAGAAGGACATACAGAGAGCCCAGAAACCTATGAAAGGATACTCAGCATCACCAGCCTTCAGAGAGATGCAAATTAAAGCCACATGAGATACCACTTCACAAGATTTCAATGCAAGACTATAGGATCCTTTGCTAAGAGACACCTGATCTGTTACCATTTCCTCTGCCCCTCTCTTCTTCCCTCAGTGATCCATGGTTAAGGCTTTGGAGTTCTCATGAGAAGAGAGAGGTGATGAGAAAGGATAATTAAACCAGCAGAGTGGTCTTAGGCAAGAGCAGGGGTCAGATTCTGGAGGCAGAACGGGCAGATTATTTCCTAAATTCTCTTAGTCAGGATCCCTTCTTCTTAGCCTCCCCTTATCTCCTAAAGCTTCCGATTTTTAAGGTGTAAGCATCTGGTAAGTCTGCCTGTATTTTCAGCACTTGATTTCATTCTCACAAAGACATGTGTAAGAGAATTTGGCAGAATCCAGAGAGTACAGTGAGCACAGCATCCTTCCACTCAGTCACACACTCCATTTTTCTCTGTACCTTTCTATTCTACCATTGCTTTGATGTCAAAGATACCACTAGACTGCAGCCTCCAGGAGGACAGGGTTTGTATCTAATTGTTTTATCGCCACATCTCTACTACATGGCACAGTCCCTGGAAAGAAGTGTGCTCAATTCACACCCGAGGGAGGACTGAAGCAATGAAGGAATATTGGTGAGTGGCTCACCAATGAAGCAATGACTGAAGCAATGGCTCACCCTCACTATTACTCTGGGGTACAAGGAGAGTATCTCTTTGTAAGGCAGATCTAGAAGAAAAGGCATGACTTAGATTCCTTTCTTCCTCTGAGGGGGAAGACCTCTGTAAACTGCTTGCATTGTAACTACTTCTAATTTCATCATCATCACTTACTTTTTGTCATATCATCTCCACTCATGTGTGAATCCAAGGAAAACAGAATCACAGAAAAACAGAATCACAGACTTAGATACTCTGTGCAGATAAGTAAAGCAACAGTGTAAGCTGAATAAATTTTACACAACTAAGTAATTCTAAAACTTAAAAATATTTGATCAAAATATGCATAATTACCAAGGCTCCACAATGACCCATTTCATAATCTTGATAAATGGTCTGTAACCTACAAAGGAATTTTTAAAAATTCTCCCATGATTTCACTAAGAAAGAAAGAGATTTTCATTTGTAACTCATCATTTATAGATGATGAATTGGCAGAAAGAAGTAATTTGCTTTTAAAAGAAAATAGTTTATTTAGAATTAGTGAGAAGAAAATGTGAAACTTTACTTAAGACTTATATATTTTCACAGGCTTCTCTGGGAAATAATAACCCTTTATAAATTATCACTTTCAGTATGCATTTACTTTGAAGCATACTGAAGGGTTGTGCCAATGTAATTATCATATTGCCTCAAACTTATTTCTATACAATATTGTTTTCATCATAAAAACTATAAAAAAGGGAATACCACTCATTACCAGTCATCCTACGTCCATTTGCACAATAATCATTGCAGGAATTTTTAAGAATCTATTTTGAACTGGAAAACTAAACAATACAGAATATTCACCAATCAGAAGGTACCTTCTTTTGAAGTAAAGAAAATTTGCTGCGATTCGTTTTACCTGAAAACATTTCAATGAAATGCACAACAGGGAAGTAGCTAACATTTATGGAGGTCTCCATCTTGCTAGTGTTGTTGAAGGAATTCTGTTGAAACTGCTCATCCTCCTAATTACCCTGTAAATTAGATTTTTTTAATATTCACTTTCAAATGAGGAAACTGAAGTTCAAAGATTTCAAGTTTTTTCAGGAGATTGCTAAATTATGTTTGACACTAAATCCCTGTACACCTACCCCCTGGAAATTCATAAAGGAGAGCTCCGCTTCTGGAACGTACTGGTAAATTACCTATAAAATCTGTCTAAGCACAGACTACTTTCTGCAGCTTGCATTCCACCGTGCACTCCTGCTCCCTTGCTCCAGCCGAAGCTCGGAAGTCAGGCCTGCACGCCTGCCCAGGAAACTAAGGATATTGCTGCTCATCTTCATCAGTATGTCCTCATGATCAGACCCTAAAAACCAATGAGCCAAATGTGTGCAATTATATAACCAAGTGTATTATTTAGATTGCTTACAGGGTATGTTTATCCCAGAGAAATAATAAACCCAAGTCTTGTTGTTTTTCAAAAAATGCAACTGGATTTCTTGATTTGCCCTCTGTCCTTGTGGCATTCCAACCAGGGCAGAATCCTCCAGGAGAAACAGAGCGAGAGGAAAAGAGATCTGAGAAGTGATAACAGAAACACACACGTAGAAAGTTGAGTGAGATTCCCAAAGCCAGTAACACCTAACACCGGACGCGAGGCTAGTTATGCCCACAGCCCGAAGCCGGCTACATCCACACAGGCTCAAAATAATCCCCTGGGATGTTTTCGATTTACCTTTGAGTGTTTTAATTGGTTCAGAAAAGAACAGCTCACCGTAAACGTCTGAGAGCAGGGACCTCAACAAAATATCTCGAAGTGTAAAGAGGAGAAACAATATTGGAGAGATTTTAATTACATATGAGAGTGCAACCCCTCCTTCAGCACGGCCATCTGCCAAGCTCCAGTGGCCTGGCGACAGGTAGTGAATGAATGAACTCCACAAGGGGAGCGGGTGGTGGAGGAAAGGAGCGCAATCCTAGTCTGCAAAGAGATTGGTCGACTCCGCGGCCCCCACGACGTCACTAAAGCTGGGCGCTTTAAAGCGCGCTGAAGTGCGGGAGCCAGGATGCTCTAGCGGGTTTGGGGAGCTCCCGCGGGGCGAACCCCGAGATCCCCGCTGGTGACAGCTCCTAGTATCTCTCTTTACAACGATCTCACCCCGCCAGCCTGCCAAAGTAGAAAACTCCTCGGGCGAAAGTGGTGTCCCTGCTCCCCATCACTTGCTGATTCAAAGCTTTCCTGCACCAGCTAGGAGAGTACTACTTTCCCGGGGGCGCTTCCACGGGGTGCTGAGGTCCGCCCGCCCAGCAGCAAAGAGCCCAGGAGGCAAAGAACTTCAGGGGACTCGGCTCTCGCCGACAGCGGGTGAGTGGGCACCTCTGCGGCTGCAGACCTGGGGCGATGGCCTCTCTCCCTGCAGCCTCGAACTGGACCGCCGGCGCGGGAGGAGCGGGCGCTGACGCCGGGCACCTGAGTGAGGCGCTCACGGCTGGGGCAACAGCGGGGGCGGCTGAGGCTGACTGGCTGCAACTGCTGGCCCAAGCCGGCAATCTCTCCGCCTCGTCCTCCACGATGGGACTGCCCACGACCTCCCCCGCGCCTTCGCAGCCCCGGGCCAACCTCACCAACCAGTTCGTGCAGCCGTCCTGGCGCATCGCGCTCTGGTCCCTCGCATACGGCGTGGTGGTGGCTGTGGCTGTCTTCGGGAACCTCGTGGTCATCTGGATCATCCTGGCCCACAAGCGCATGAGGACCGTCACCAACTACTTCCTCGTGAACCTGGCTTTCTCCGACGCCTCCATGGCCGCTTTCAACACCTTGGTCAACTTCATCTATGCTCTTCACAGCGAGTGGTACTTCGGCGCCAACTACTGTCGCTTCCAGAATTTCTTCCCTATCACAGCGGTGTTCGCCAGCATCTACTCTATGACGGCCATTGCGGTGGACAGGTGAGGAGAAAGCCGGGAAGGAGGAGGGAGAAGGGACAGAAAAGAGCCGGGCAGGAGGATAAGGTTACAAAGGAAATGGTGACAAGACGGGTTTGATAAAAGGAAAGGGACTAGGAAGGCGTTCTTGGAGAAAGGAGGTCAGGGACCCTCTGTAGTCCTGCAAGGCCTGAACCAGTTTCTGTTTCCATGGTCCCTCCACCCCCACCCTAGCCCCGTGACCCCCTTAAGAGCTTTCGAGGGACTGAAGGAGGAATATGGGAAAATCTGTAATTCCAAGTAGAACAAAATCAGCTAGAAATACCTAATACTAGCAAATTTCTCAAATGGCTTCAAACGACCGAATCAAAATTTATGTCTCTGTAAAATGTGCTTTTTTACATTTCTCTATTCACTCAGAGAAATGAATGAAGTCACCCTCCACCCTTCCTTCCGCTCTCTGGTTTGCTGGTCCTCATCCCCACCCAGCACATCCCCTATCCTTATCCCAGGCTCAACACTGGTTTCGCTGCCTAGTCACGGAACATCCATCCAGCGGAGCAACAAACTCCCTCCCAAAGATTGCCACCAGCTAGCAGCTTCCACACCATCTCAGGTTAGAGTTCACTTCCAGTAATCTGCAGGGGCTATGTACAAGCTGGGTAAATCCTGTGCCTCAAATATTGCATCCAAATCTTTCAGATAATGAACCCTCAAAAACCCACAGAATAAGCGGTTAGAGAACAGACATGACAGCTGTCAAAGGGGAAGGGAGTTGAGAGGTTGGGTGAGAAAGGTGACGGGATTAAGTAAAGAAAAATTAAAACCTCATAGACACAGACAACATTATGATGATTACCAAAGGGGAAAAGGGGTGAGGGGAGCTAGAAGAAGGTAAAGAGGGTGGTGTAAGGAGATAGGCAGGGGGATAAGGTGACCTGGGTTGGTGGACACACAATACAATATGTAGATGATGTACTGTAGAATTGTACACCTGAAACCTGTATAATTTTATTAACCAATATCACCTGAGGAATCCAATACATTTTTTTAAGGAAAAGAAATTAGACACACTGATTTGTAGCTGTTTAACTTTTAGATTGTTTCCTCATCTACAGTGGAGATTCTCAGATGCTCAAATAAAAAGCTGGATAGACCTCCAATGTTTGTTCTCATATTTAAGTTTTAAAATGTTCTATGTGCTGCTAAATGTTGGTTTCTCATATTGAACATTATGAAATATGCATGCTTGAATGATGACAGTGGTAAATCCCCACATATTATTGAAACTGGTTTCACTTTAATTCAACACTATGCTAAAAAAAATAACCACATCAGTTAATTCCAGCCTCACTTTTGTGATTGGCAGCCATGTGGGAGATACAGGGGGTGATTTTACTGTAACTGCAAATCTCAATATTCTCACGCATGGGAAAACTACATTTTTTGACATTAGCATGCCTATTTCAAAATAAAATGAGGCTTAATATTAATTCTTACTATATTAAGCCACTATTATAAGGAAAATAATAAGGAAAAAAGTTATTTCCATAAGTCTATCCTTTGTGTTTACTATTTTAAAATAGTGAGCATTGAGGTATTGATGACATCTGTAGACACTGTTTTGAATGCCAGACTCAGAGCGTTAAACTGAAGGAGCTGTGGTGAGTTGCCACTTAGTAGAAGAAGTAAGCACAAAATCACACCTTTTTTGCCATCTCTCTGAAACTTTCAATCATCTTTTTCCCCTTTATATCTGATTTTCCACATGTCTCAACCCTTCATTTTTGTAAGGGTAGAAATAAAAAGAAGCAATTTAATCAGCTCCAAATTGGGCAACAGGTAAAATGGCTTCTAACCTTGCTCTAACAAAATTAATATAAATGAATGTTGCTTTGGTTTGCATACCTTCCTTGTTTTGTCTTTGTTTCTTTTTTATTTTTATATTTGTCTTTTTTATTTATTGTAAGCATATGGCTTTTAATGTTGTGATCAGGAGAACAGGCACTAGCATATCATGTTATGAAACTGTCCCAATATCCTTTACATTTTAACGATGCATTATGAAATTTGATGAAAATTTAATGTGTGTGAAATTGGTGGTATTTCAATTAAGAAATACTGTCTGCCAGCATTTATACAAAATCTGAAATGGCTTGGGATTATTTTAATGGTTAATGTAATGCTATCTACACTCACTGGTTTGAAATTACACTCACTGGTTAATGTAATGCTATTTACACTCACTGGTTTGAAATTAATAAATACGACTTATTCTTTATTCAAAAACATTCAATTACTAAAACTGTAAAAAGTTTATGGAGCATACAATTTGCAACAAAATCTGAAGCATACTCAGTTTGGATACCAAAAATCTTTTTTTAAAAAACTGTTATTTAAAGAAGTGTCTTTTGAGCACACAATTAATAAAAAAGAAATACAGAAATAAAGACTTTAAGATAATTTTTAAAATCAAATATTATACAGATATAACAGTTCTCAGAACTCCCAATAGTTTACCAGTGCAAAAAATCTCTCTATAACAAGGATGAACTAGAAAAAAAAAAACCTTAAATAAACACTTGTATTTGCAGTTATCTTATAGATTTAAGTTTACAACATTGACCCTTCTGGGGAAATCCAGGTGAGTTGTGGTCTTTTGTTTATGGTTGCCTGGACTCCTTGGCACATATAGTACATAGTTAACAGTGTACACTCACAGAAATTATATTTTTATGCTATTAATGGCTTGTTGAAATAATCTTAAAGGGTGTTTAATCCCTAGTTAGTTTTTATTGATAAAGGAATACATCATGCCTCAAAAATCTAAGGATGGAACTGTCTTTTGATCTAGTGATCCCACTGCTGGGATTATACCCTAAGAATCCTGAAACACCAGTTCAAAGGAACCTGTGCACCCCAATGCTCATAGCAGCATTATTTACAATAGCCACATTCCGGAAGCAACCTAAGTGCTCATCAGTAAATGAGTGGATCAAAAAACTGTGGTACATTTACACAATGGAATACTATGCAGCAGAAAGAAAGAAGGAACTCCTACCCTTCACAATAGCATGGATGTAACTGGGGAACATTATGTTAAGTGAAATAAACCAGGTAGCAAAAGACAAATACCATATGATCCCACCTGTAAGTGGAACCTAATCAATAAAACAAATAAATGAGCAAAATAGAACCAGAGACATGGAAATAAGGAATAAAATGACAGTGACCAGAGGGGAGGGAGAGAGGGAAGACAGGGGAAAGAAGGGGAAGGGTCTCATCAAGGAACATGTATAAAGGACCCAAGGACATGGACAACAGGGTAGAGGCTGACTGAGGGACTGGGGGGTGGGGAGCAGGGCAGGGGAGAGCAATGGGGGTGGGGGGAGGGATTGGGATAACTGTAATTAAACAAAAAGAAAAAAGAAAAGGGTCTTATACAATAAAAAACCTGATAGCAAGATAAATTGATTACCAGAGATAAACAAGAATTTCATGTGAGTGTTTATACTCTTTTATTAAATTGTGATCTCTGCTAGACTACAACCCACTGATACAAGGCTGAAATTTTCCTGTTAATTAAAAGAGAAATTTATGGCAAAAAAAAAGGAATACATCATTTAGACTGTAAGGTGAACACTTGACTTATTTAATTGTGACTGTTTTCTGTCCCATTTAATATAAACTGAATTGTATCCCACTAGAAAACACTCAATTCACCCTATACCTCAGCCTAAAGGTAAAAGGCCCTCTGAGCTTGAAAACTACTTTCTCTTTGTTTCTGGCACATCTGACTTCTCTTCAGCTGCAACAAAATGCTTGCAAGTGCCTATGACCTTAGAAATTTTAGGCCTGAGAAGGACTGGAGATACTGCCTTCATGAACACCTGTATTTTGCCAGTGGAGGTCCTCAAGCCAGTGGCTACACATTTTGTCAAGAAAAAGGCAGTGAGTCTTCTTTGAAGTGCTTGACCCTTCATTCTGTACTGGAAGAATTGCTCACTTTCTACCTCTACTTTTAAAAATAAGTATAATATTGGTAACTCTACTAAAGATTTCAATGTGAGGATACAGGTTCTGGTCTTACCCTGAAGTGTGTTCCCTTCTGCTGTTTTGGAAATTCCTGAAAAACTGTCTTTATTGGCCAAGAAACTATCTTTCAGTTCCTCACAGTTCCTTCTTGCCAGGGAGGCTACTTCACCAGCCCTACACATACACACACACACACTGGAATTATTTGCCAATAAAGAGTCACTTTCTCTTTCTAGTATCTTACCCAAATTTGCCATTTTGTGATGCAAATTTAAATGTAACATCTAAAACACACTAAGCTTCCCCAGGATCATGCAGTAGAGCCAAGATTCAAACAACTGCAGTCAACTCCCAGGCCCATACTCTCCTGAACTTTTACGCTGTTACAGCTTCTGAGAAGTTGTGATGGCTGCGGGGTTTAGCAAGACAAAGTTCTTCCTTCAATTAAATTAGAATTTGGGGCTTGTTTATACTATACATCATATAGCAAATATGTATATGTATGTATGTATATGCATATATATCTCACATCTTTATACTACCTATATCTTGAGAATGTATATGTTAGAAAATTATTAATATAACAGATAATATTAAAATATTGTTATTTTTATTCATTTATGATGTACCACTCTATTATGGGGATATTGGAAAACAGAAAATATTTTCTAAGCACATTTTTAAGATATAGTTAGAAATGCTAAGAAGGTTTATTCACATAGAGTAAAGGAAAATTTTAGAGCACATGGTCCAGTATTGACTGGAACATTTCATTAAAGAATTTTTAAGATGATAATTCACTATTTCTTACCTGAAAACCTTAGGTAATTTAATATTAATATGTTTTATTCATTAGTTCAAAAATATTAAGAAAGAAAAAATACTTTACATTCTTTAAACACAAAAACACACCTGACGTGAATAATTACTAAAAGAAATATTCCATCTAACAGAACTGTTAAATTTTTTATTCACACAGATAAAAATCG